ATCGTCTCAACGAGAAAAATCCGAGCTACGCAATAAATTACAAGCTTTGCAGGACAAAGTCAAGCAATTGGAGTCGGAGCGTAAAAGTAAGTTCTCTGGAAGTGGTGGGACCACAGCTTACGATCGTGCGGAGAAGAATACTTCGTATTATGATGCCGGTGACTTCGACTCGAACCGCATGGAAGCCACAGCAGGCAATTATAGCTGTGGTCTTGATCATGCCGTCATTGAGCAAGAGGCGAGGGACTTGCGCTTAAAAGTCCGTCGTTTAGAAACACTTTTAGCGGAGAAAGAGTCCGAACTAGCAAGACTTAAGGCACGTTTACACGATAGTGCCAAGTGTGCAGATGGTGGAATAGATGCGGAGCGTTACCGTAATGCTCAAATGCACGCTGAAAAGTTATTGGATGCTCGCGAGCAATCACATCGGCAGCAGGTCATGCGTTTAGAAAATCAAGTGAGCTAATAATATTTTTTTTTTTTAGTTTTTGTTATAAATACATTACATATATATGTACATACATATGTTCATACGTGTGTACCATTGCCACTGTTTGAGAGCCACGAGCAAAATGGCATACTTATTCCTTTCACGGGGGATGAAATGGCAAGTAAATTTTTCCTAAAAACTAAGGAATGGTGTTTATATCGTCGTTTAAAGTACAAAACCGCGTATCGTCGTTCTGCAAAACTGCGTAACTGACATTGGCTGCCAAAAATTGGATTTGCTCACACAAGCTCTTGGTTCAATCCTTATCCATTCGTCCTCAAATATACTAGCCAGAAATGCGATTGCTTTATAAAATAATTTATGCAACCTCACAGTTGCGGCTTTGCATTATCTTGATACGCGGTTTTGTACTTTAAACGACGATATGTATCTCCTAATAAGGTTTTTTGCGCACTCACCTTAGTCCGTACAAGTTTTCTGTAGAACATTTTAAGCCTCTAACTGCCTCTTTCAATAAACTTTTATGAAACTTATTTTAAAGAGGGTCAAAAAAAGGAACAGTCCAGCGCCTTCGTCTTGGTCTGCAGGCTGTATCGGAGATACACCCGCTAAATTTAAACGTAGAATACGTGGTATGGTTAAGAGCATATCCAAGTCAAAAACGAAAGCACAAACTAAGAAAAAAATATCGATAACAAAAGCGATAATAAAATCGATAAAAATATCGATAACAAAATCGTTAACTAAATCGATTACAAAATCGATAAAATATCGATTACAAAATCTATCGAAAAATCGATTACAAAATCGATAACAAAATCGATTCCAAAGTCAATAACAAAATTGATAACAAAATCTATCAAAAAATCCATTACCAAATCGGTAATAAATTCGATAAAAAAATCGATAAAACTATCGATAACAAAAGCGATGGCAATATCGATAGCAAAATCGGTAAAAAAACCGATAAAAATACCGACAACAAAAGCGATAACAATATCTATAGAAAAATCGATAAAAATATTGATGACAAAAGCGACAAAAATATCGATAACAAAAGCGATAACAATATCGATAGCAAAATTGTTAAAACAATCAAGAAAAATATCGATAACAAAACCGATAAATAATCAATAATAAAATCAATAACAGAATCGATTACAAAATCGATAAAAATATCGATCATTATATCGATAAGTTCCGAAAATATCGATAGCAAAATCAATAACAACATCGATACAAATTTCGATAACAAAATCGGTGAAAATATCGGTAACAAAACCGATAAAAATATCGATGGCAAAATCGATTAAAATATCGGCAACAAAATCGATAAAAATATCGATAACAAAACCAAACAGATCCACATTAACTGAAACTTTCATATGTACGTATATATGCATTTACATATGTACATACGCTGCGATCAAAAGCCGCATTACATACGCATACATACTTTTTGTCTCCTTCCCACACTTCCAACATATGCACGTGTTTGCAAAATGATGACGAGGTGATTTTGTATGGAAAATCATTTATGCCCATATATTTGAATAAAATAAACATATATAGAAGATATCAACCAATACTTCCCATATACCAAACGAAAGGAAAACTCTTGAATTTTTGATTAAAGAAAACAAAAACAAAATCATTCGAGCGGTTTTCGAGCATTTTGGTAATTAAAAAAATTTGCAAATTTTTTCAACAATTTTTTGCCTTAAAATGCTCAATATTTGTTAAATTTATATAAAATTTGTACCCGATAATATTTCTACTGCTCCAAAGAACCTATATCCCGAAAATGAAAGTAATATATGCCAACAATAAGTTGCTAGAGCACTTTAAAGGCTCAAAATTGACCCCAAAATAAGGCAATGTTTACCGTTGTTTTTACGACAGAAACCGAATTGGTTATTTACAAAAATTAATCTGTCGACAGGTTTGGAATTTTATCTTTGAAACGCCACACTTTTCTTTGAAATCGCTTTATTAGTTCTCGTGCAATAAGCGTTTTTGTGAAGCTCTAAAAATTACAACTACAACATTTGAACATAGCCCCCATACCTTAAGGTAAGACGTATTCTACGTCAAAATAATGTGACCGACCGTCCTCCTTTAGGAAAAAGTCCTCCTTTTTTAAGCCATGTCTTCCTAAATGTCCTTCTTTGTGACATTCGTCATTCAAATTTAAAGTGATATTAATTATCGTGTGTACATACTATGCGCTAGATAAAATAAGAAGTACATTCGACATGAAATTCATGTTTTTTCCGTAAAAAATTCTTTCAAGAACAATATTAACAAAACTTTTTCAATAGTAATTTTAGTAACGTAACGTCATGTAATATCACGCCAGAAACTTCAGCTGATTAAACAAAAAGCAGAAAATATTTTTACAACTTGTAAAATTAACCTAAACATTCCAAATCTTACTAAAACTTTTATACGAATAGCCTTGCCCAATTCGCAGTTTTGCAATTTGGTAACCCAAGTCAAAATCCACTTCGGTTGTAACGTCACGCCAGGGCATATGTTTATTAATATCTTTAAATCGCTGCTACCAGCAGTTGTAATTTTTTTACTAAATAAGGGGAATTTAATGCTATGCGAATCTAGAATAAACTGTTTAAAATTTTTTATCTGTTTTGTAACACAAGTTTCACGTAACGCCAAATTGGAAATACATATATGTACATCTTTTTTTTTTGTTTTTCTTAGATATCTTTGCTACGTGAACAATTAGCACAAGAAGCTAAACGTCGTCAGCAATACATTTTGCGTAGTTCAAAAGCCAATCGCGAAATGCAACACCTACGAAATACTCTTGGCGATTCATTACGACATGTTTCGCAACATCCATTAGATCCTAATTTATTGGAAAGCGAATCGAGACGGTGAGCACAAATTGTTTAATGCCATTATAAATATTCTTATTTTATTGTATATATTTTTGTACGTTCAAGCAGCTTGGATAATGCCGTTTCGATGAGTCTACCACCGTCAACCTGTCGGGATTACGATCAATAAATCCATTTGTATGGGACAACTTGATTGTTACTAGCTAATATGTGGTCCAGGCAAAGGGAAAGGACTTGGAAATAAAAAACTGCAACTTAAAGCTTCCTTATTAAAAACTAAATGCATTTATTAGAATATATGTATACAGGTATAGAAAACATAATTAATACAAAACATGCCTATACTCACTATCCCCTCTCATACAATAAGTGTGTATGAGTTGATTTTGAAACTCCACAAAAATGCATCAGGTATTGAAATTTGTAATGATCCTACAAAATTTACTTATCCCTAACTTCATCGATATTTTATATACATACATACACTGCCGGAACAAAGTATTGGCACAGCAAGTTTTTCAAAATATACACAACACTTTTTATTCTAATATTTTTCCGCCAATTTTGTATAAATATATGGTTCATTCAACAACAAAAAGCTTAAAAATGTAATTCCTAAACTTTATGCAAAACTCGCAAAAATTCAGCAAATTTTCAACTTTTTAATCAGGTTTTTTTAGAATTTTTTTGAGTATGCAGTTTTGCAGCCCATTAAATTCTAGTAAAAAAATGCAAGTTCGGAGTTAGTCAAAAATTGCGTTGATTTTTGAGAATTTTTTTTGTTGAAGGTGTTTTGCATTTTTTCCATATTAAGTATTTTCGAAAAAAAAAATGTTTGTATAGAAGACTGCGTGAAAAAAATTACCAAAAATCAACGGTAATTCCTAGGTATTTAAAACTTGCACTTTATTATAATACAATTGATTGGGCTAGAAATCTGCATACTCCAAACTCTAGAAAATCGGATTGAAAAGTTGAAAATTTTCATGAAAATTTGCTGAATTTTCGCGAGTTTTGCACAAAGTTTAGGAATTATATTTTTATGTTTTTTGTTGTAGAATGAACCAAATTTTTATACGAAATTAGTGGAAAAAAAATATTAGAATGAAAATTGTTGCATATATTGTGAAAAATTTGCTGTGCCAATACTTTGTTCCGGCAGTGTACATACATATATACGTACTTACATACAAAAATGTACATGTATTTGTATGGTGTAGACAAATTATAACTATTCTGTAGCTTTTCATTGTCTGCGAGATAGACAATAGAATATAGTGTATATTTACTTCCTGCATTCCCACCACAAGTTAATTTCAATTAAAAAAAAAAACCAAAACATTATTAAACCAAACATTTCCCAACAAGCGCTATTAAATTTTATTTACGTTTATCTTGTAAGGCTGTTGCATTTCTCCTCTCTTTAGGAGAACATTGCCGTACAGTTTTAAAAGGAACCATGCAAATTCATATCACCAACTTTCACAGTCACTAATGTATCAATAACAATGCCTCAATAACATTTATATACCTACAAACGTATGCATGTAGGATAAAACACAAACACAATCTAGAATTCAAACATCTATTAAAACAAATATAAGAGCAATTTTCATAAAATGCAATATTCATAAAAGGAATATTTTAGAAAATATATACAATTTTGGTCAAATAAAGAAAACAATTGGTTTGTATTTTTCCTTTGTTTCATTTTTATTGCGAATTTAATATTTTCTCCAGGTAAGCGACTACAACTTTCATGTTAGCCCTCTGTTTGGACAACTTGGACACTTCGCCTACAATAGCAAACAGTGCTTTCTTTTTGCCGCTTTTGTATTGTTTTACTGCCTGTTCGTTACGCTCAATCGCCTGTAGACAAAGTTGTTCGATAGTCTTTTCATCAGTTATTTGTTCTAGTTGTCGGTCGTTTATAAGCTAAAAAATAATACATAAATTGATTAATATAATTTTCTGTGCGTACATATGTACAAATCAGCGTTAAAACGTTCGGCGGAAAATTGGTCCGCTTTCTAATGAAATAAATCAAAAATTGTCTTTCTAAACAAAAAATAAAACTTGTACCTGTTGCTCAATAAATAACAATGAGAAAGTTTAAAAACTATTTTGAGTAATACAAATTTTTCGGAGTCAACGGCAGTCCGAGTAACCATGATTATGTTGGTGTACTCCTTATGCACGCAGCTTTTCACATGCAGTGTAGCAACGCTGATAAAAATGTATGTATGTACATATGTAAACGCCGAGTATAAATAGATTTTACCGATTGGACATTTTGTGCAGGATCCTGATGTAAAAATTCGATAAGCTGTCGACCCGCTTGCAGATTTATAGTACCAGTATTGAGCGCTACAAGGATGTCCTCAAGGTGAGTGTAAGTTAGTTGGCTGGAAGAGCAATACAATACAGCTGCATATTATAGGATAAATAGTAACATAACTTTTTAAGCAATAACATGAACGTAAAAATTATCTATGTACAAATGTATGTAGTTTAACAATTAATTGCGGTTTCCGTGAAGCGCACGCCTTAGCACATTTATTTTAGACTTTAAGTAACCACTAATTATTTGCAACTTTTTATAATCATTATGGGACTTGTTTTTAAATTTAATATACAACTTTTGTGACCATATACAGTTTCAGGTGTCTATACTTTTCCCCGCGCGTAGAACTACTGCTAACCACCTCAAAGAGAAAAAAATCGTCGATTGGTGCATCATGGCCCATAGGCATAGTCGTAAGTTAAAACTCATTCTTGTTAAAATAAAGTTTTAAATTTAGAATAGATTTTTAATTTGTGTCAATAGACATCTTAGAAACAGCTTTTTGTTAAGATGAGAGAGAACAGAGCTACCCATGAAGAGAAAAAATTTACTCGGCAATATAAAGATATATGTGTACTTTAATGAGTTCACCCTGTGTCCGCTGCGGGATTGAAATTTTAGCTTCCCGACGAGTCGTGGGTTCGAATCCCACTATCAGGAAACATTTTTTTTTTTTTTGTTATTTTAAATATTGGGGCGTATTCTTGTTTTCGTACGAATCGAAAATCGTAAAATTTTCCAATTATTTTCTATACAAAAATATCAAATTTTCGATTCGTACGAAAACAAGAATAGGCCTCAAGAATTTTATTTTTTTTTTTTATGTAATTATAGTTGTTATGACCTGTTTAATTAAAATTAAACTGCACAAAATTTGTTTATCTTGACATTATAATGTGAAATACCGCAAGAATAATAAAATAAAATAAAATAATTTTTATATTAAAAAAAAATCATTAAACTAAAAAATATTGTTTGGTATCGCTCAGAGTAGGAACCGAACCTTATTTTAGCATTTTAAAATCACGTCTTATTTTAAAGTTAAAAATCTTGCTTTTGCATTTTCAGTTGACCATGAAAGAGTTAAGATGGTGATTACAATTGTCCAAACCGTAGCTGTCACAGGTGTGACATGCTTCACTGTTGAATTATTCTTATCCAACTATGCAATGCAATGGTGGTAAACATTTGCAATGAATTTCGAACATTATTACATAAAGACGAAACACATCAACTTCTGTAATACATATAGTATGTATAAAAACTTTTTTGACACGGATAGATAAAGCACTCACACAATTTAATACATAACACAATGTTATTAAAAGCAAATTAGTCCTATTATATTATATATATTTCTTACCAAGCGCTTGAATTATGAATCATGAATTATTTCACAGTACTTTTAACACAACCTATTTGAAACTCACTCAAAAAATTTACTTAGAACTTGATTTCCAAACGTAAAAAAGGGATTAAAGTTGCATTTGAAACTTTAATTTGTTATATTTTGGTTGATTATATGTCTATCATTTTCCTCTACATATTCACCTTTACCTTTATCCTTGCATTCCTTTTAATTTGAATCTTATTTTTAAACCGCTGCTTAGCAAGTTTCTTTAATTGTTCCCACAACGGTCGGGTCTACGAAACCGGAACGACCCACAATTATATCTGACCAAGGACTGTCGCTTCAGCATCGCTCCTCAAAAACTCTTTTGGGGATTTGTATGCTCTTACAACAACAATAACGCTTCTTTAATTCACTATCAATATTAAAGCATACATTTAGGAGGCATTTCCGCTACATTCGCCACTAACGAAATTTTACTACAAAAAAAAGTAAGCACATACTGTCTTTTTTCGGTTAGTTCTTGTCTTTGCGGAAGCAGGAGAAGGAAAGCTAAGTGGCAAACTAATTGAGTATGCAGACAATTCCTCAAATAGGCATTTCACATGTGCACACAAATTTTTCATTTTGCGACAACATCAATGGATTTTTCGAAGTTAAGGTCTAAACTATAAATTTAATTAAAGGAAAACTTAGTTCGTGTAGTCCCTACGCGCGGAAGAAGAGAAACTTAATAGCGTAAATGCCAGAAAGAAAGATATGTGCGATCCACTACATACACATCTTCATCTTCGTCTTCATCTTCATCTTCATCTTCATCTTCATCTTCATCTTCATCTTC